GACCCTATAATTCCCTAAACCACGAAACTGCTTCAAAACATCGACGTTCGAAGTAGTGCTTCGCGGGAGGAGGAAGCCGGGTTACAAGAGACCGTATACGCTCGCAGCGCACGCTTGGTTCCAACAGTTGCAGGAAACATGATTTGACATTCAGCCAGGATATACCGCCAACCCACATTTAGAGGATTTTGGAACCTATACTATATCACATTGTGTCTGATGTATACGGCGATGAGCTTAACAATTTAGTAAAGCACCTGACGGCGCGCGCAAGGTTCCAAGGCCCGGACACATCATGTTCGCGCGAGGGACGGTCTACGTTGACGTTTTGGTGTGTCTGGTGTTTGCTTTCTCAAGCTACTTTAGACTAGTAACGCACTTACTCAAACTGTCCTCCTGGTAATTAACGCCCTTACTTAAACTGTCCTCCTGAAGCCCGACATCGTAAGGGTTGAGGGTTTAGGGTTTGTAGGAGCCTCGATCATAGGGCTAACTCGGTGTGCGCGGCTTTTTTGCTTCACGAATAGAGAGATTTTCGGACGTGTTGCAAACCTCTTGGCAGTGACACTGTAGAGGCTAGCACAGCCATGTCTTGGTGTTCGGGAGTTAGGCACTCAAGCCGCAGAATCCAACACCAATCATTTTACATATAATGTAGGAACCTGATCAAGAAACCTTGGGACCTTGGGCCTTTATTCGGGTTCCTTATATGAATCCTACTATATTTGGAGTTATAGGCCCATTCTATTCTCTTAGTGGCCAAAACCCAACTTTTCAACTTTTGGGCTCTCATACGGTAGTCTTATTGGAAAGTTTTAACTTTGTTCCCGGTGGGTATTTGGGAAGTAAGTGCTAGTTGGAGGTTCATGGGTAGTTACAAGTAGGGTTATAAGTAGGAAAACCATACTGATAACCTATATCAGGGGACTTATAACACCAGTTATAACTACCCATGAACTCCAAGTAGGGTCCTGAACTATGGGGGTTTCCGAAAATACGGGTACCTTCATGGGATCCTAATATAGTCCCCTATTGTCGGAAACACCCATATGGCATGGTGTACACAACAAAGCTCCGCTCGCTGCTTTCTTCGTCTCAAGGTGAACAGGGGCTTTGGAGTCAAGACAGGAGTTTAGAGGCATGGTCTGCTTGCATGCTTCCACGGAAAGGAGCACTTTTGCAAGCACAGGTTACCATGCTTGGGGACGTAAGTTTTTTCCCAGCTCACTTAGTATGCCTGGTTGTTTGATGAGGAATGGTTCAGAGTTCATCAGGTCATCGTCACGTTCTAGCCGTAGGCTTAAGTTGAATTCGTGACTCGCCATGTTCCAGAAAATGCGACACCTGCTTGCTGGAAGGCGCTTCAGAACGTTAGGAGCATGGGGGAGGGAGATGAGGGCCACGGCCGGGCTGTCTCGCGGACACCAGCGGTTGATGAAAGACTTCGTGACACAAGCACCGTTTCGAAAGCCAATGTCTATCCTTGCACGCAATACCTGGAGTCACCAAGGTACCTTGATTAAGCACGGCTACCCTAATTATACCTCTAGGTTGTAAGGGCCATTTTCATGTTCAGCACATGTTTCGGTTGCGTGTGGTTCGGTGAAGGATGCTTCATGGGTGCAGGTCTTCTTCAGGGGGTGAGGGCTTAAGGTTCAGCGTCGCCATATCGACAAAGGTGTACATGAATGCTTCGCATCAAAGTGTCGGGAAAGGTTGGTCGGAATCTACCTATAGTCTCCATTGCCCTTCCTTTGTTGGTTTTATCCAATTTCTTACTTAGCATCCTATAAGGTAGCACCCAAGCGGAGCTACAGTAGGTACCTGTAGCTGTGTTCCACGGCCTTCCTTCCTGGCCGTGGCACATGGGTAGCTATAAGTAGGGTTTATAAGTAGGATTTATAGTTATAACCCATATGAGGGGACTTATAACCCCACTTATAGTAACTACCCTATACCCTTATGGAATCCCTATAGATCCCTGTCAAGGGACCCTTAAAGGGACCCTTATAACTACCCAAGTGGTGTGCAGATGGGAGCTTTTGCTGCTTTTCCTGGCCTCTTGCGGCAACGCGCTTGACGCGCCAAAGGCGACGCATGCAGGCCATTGCTTCTGCATGTCGGGTCAGTTCCGAACCCTATACAGCAAACTCCAAAAAGTTGGAAACCGGATTAAGGACAAAGAGTGCTGGGATTCCCTATACTTTACTCTTACGGATTGAGGCTATCGGGTTTCCAACTTTTTGGCTTCTACTGTACTCAGTAGTAGAGTAAGCTTTAACTCTTTTGGAATTTGGGCTACATACTACAACCCCTATCTAATCCCATTGGGGTACTACAATCTCTATCTAATCCCAAAGTATAACCTTCATTTCCCCTATGATGCGGGACAAGTAGGTGCAAGCCCTGTGCCCTAATCTCTGCTCACCCACTTGACACATGCATTGGGGTTTTGTTGGGTTGATTTTGCTCCGGCAGCCGGGTGTTGAAGGTATTTTGGCTGTTGGTCTCGGACGCTGGGCACAGTGACACATACTGGGTCTTGGAGCATGCATGCTTCGGGGTTGATTATTTGCATTTGTGTGTGTGTGTCGAACCTACGCCAGTAGAGTCTTTTCCAATCACTGTTGATTTGCCATCTCAAGCTTGCAAAACTACAGCCTCAGGTGGTCTTTGCCCCAGAACCTACACTGTTGAAGCTGTACGGCCAGCTTGCAACCAATCTTCATACAATACAGCTCAGAAGGTCTCGCAAAGCTCTCCCAGCCCATTCCAACAGGAAGCTCCCAGAATAAGCCTGTCACTCATTACCGAAGCAGGAACTGAAAACCTCAAGACTCTCAGCTTCAAAGCCTCAAGAGCCCTGCAAACTTGACGACCATGATGGCTTCGCGGCCGGCACAGCGCCTGGGGCAATTCGCCAAGCACCTTGCTGGGCGACCCAATGCCCGTGCTGCTTCCGAACTGCGCTTGGCTTAAGCATGTTTAAGCATACGGGAGTGTCCGAAAATTAGGGGTACCTCATTTGGGGTCCTTACAATAAGGATCCTACTGTTTAGGGCCCTATATTAGGGTCCCCTATTTTCGGAAACCCCCCTATAGCCAACTTATAAACATGTACTTGTGTAAGTGTGTGTGTGTGCGTGTGCGTATATATGCACGCCTGTATATATACATAAGATTTGTCTGGAGTGAGTAACCAAGGTGCCCTAGACCAAGGGATTGTCGCCATTTGTTGAGGGCAGTTTTTGCCGGTTACATTGGTTAGTTGCTGAGAACCCTTGCCGTCTTCTCGCTGCGTGTTGCGTCTTTCCTAGTCGCGAAGTCACTAATCACTAACATCTTCGGCATCGCCACACCATTACCATCACCATCACCGTTCCTGTCCCCTTTCTCATCCTTTTCAGCCTCATGAATATGATGCGGTCAAGGGTTTCAGCTTTTAACATGGATGGAATGATAGGTAGTCGGTAGGCTGGAACGTAGACTGGTGGTCAAGTAACTCACAGAGAGAAGCACCCACAATCAGAAAACAGACCGTGAATGGCTGAAGGCATGTGCGACTGACCACAAAAGATTGAATGACAGCAAGAAATGAATGAATACATCAATGTTTGAATGGATGGAGTGAAACGGAATGGGAGGGATGAGTTGGGATGAAATAGCCGGATCCAGTAAGCGGATGAAATAATCGGATGTAACGGAACGAACTAATGGAGAAAAACAACGGGATGAACCGGAACGAAATGGAACGAACATAAACGAACGAATGAATGAAGGAACGAACCGGATGAAATGAATGGTGTGACTGAAAATGAATAAACGAAAGAAAGAAAGAACGACAAAACTAGATATTGAACGAGTGATTGATGAATGAGTGCATAGTTGAATAACCGAATGAATCGACCAACGAATGAATGAATGTGTGACAGGCATTGAAGCGCACAGAAGCATACACACGATCCAGAATAAGAAAGTATAGCAACAGCACAAGGCAGGCATAATAGTTGAGATTCCGAAATAGACAACGCAAAACATGTCTGGATAATCGCAAACCCGCACGTGTATCACCAGGAACCGACACTAACATAGGTACGCATGCGACACGTATGAAGCCACACATGCACACAGTCACAGGCAGACAGACGAGACAGAGACATACAGAGACAGCGACAGGGACAGAGACAGAGACGAACAGACTCCCAGACGGAGAGACACAGAGACCTAGAGACAGAGAGACAGAGAGACACACAGACAGAGAGACAGACAGATAGAGTCTTGTGTATCTCTGCGCATGGTCATATTGGCAACTGCGCGTAAGTATGCATGCGCATGTCTGCAAACGACCGAGCGATCATCTGGAACGCACGCTATGTGACACACGCGTGCCTGCATGAGCCCTTGCCTCTGTATGCATACAGATACCAAGATTTAGGTTTGTGCAACATATATACACGTGTACTGATGCATGTACTTGTACACGAGTCATGTGCCTGCATATATATAGATATATATATGTTTATATATATATATATATGTGTACACATGTATATGTATATGTGGTCAAGCCGGTGAAGCCCGTACATCAGGTTAGAGTGTACCCGGCTATGTATGACAATGTGTGCCTATGTGTATTTTTCAGTTGCAGTTTCATGTATGCACATTTCGGAGTGACTGATGCGCCAGCAGGGTTGATGGTTCGGTGCCTGGGAAGTGCGGCCAAGTAGACCCCACTCCCAAGAACTCAACACTGCATGAAGCCCTTGTGCGACACAGGTGCACAATCCCTTAACCCTAAGCCAGGTCATTGTCTTGGTGTCAATGTGGGTGTAGAGGACTCAGTATTGAGTCCTGTGTGGACGGAAGGTGTTTGTTCAATATCCCTAACCTTACCCCCACAACCATAAAATCCGAAAGTGCATGCATTTGGCCTGTCGTGTGGCGACGCCATCGAGGTTGCTGAAGCCCGTGCAGGAGCTCCAACGATCTCGCTTGGCACGATGACTGTCGGCTGGTCGCAGACGCCTTGTGCTCATGCTGGGACCAGCAGCCCTGTTGTGCAGATGGGTATCTTTGCTGCTTTTGTGGGCCTCCTGTGGCAGCGTGCTCGACGAGCTGAATGTCACACATACAGGCCTGCAGGGGCTGTATCAACTAAGCCCGTGCCATACCTGGTACATGCCCTATCCCGGATCCCCCTCTCAGGTACTGCTGCTGTTGCAACTACTGTAGCTACCAATTGCCATTACCACTATCACTACCGTTGCTGTTGCTGCTGCTCCTGCTTCTTCTGACTGCCTTTGCCGCAGCCGATACACCTACCGCTGCTGCTGCTGCCATTTTGTTTTGACATTTCCTGTGTGCAGTCGGAGGACGGATGCTGCAACGACGGCTCGTACAAATAACAGTACTGGACACAAGATCAGGAAACATGCCTTTTGAAGCCAAATGTCGAAAGTACAGTTGGCTGCTCATAAAGGTACACCGATTGAACGAAACGTGAGCAACGGTAGCAGTGGTCATTGAGTCATTCTCAGTAGCAGCAACAACATCATAAGCTTCAGTACAGTTTAAGACTGGCAAAGCTAGCTAGTTACCCTTACTCTTCAACGGAGCTGCCTACACAAGCTACACTCTCGCGGTGCTTAGTGTTCCTAAGCTTTGAGGACCCTCGTCTTGACACCAAGATCTTCAGGTCATTGCTCATGGGGGCTCGAACTTAGGGGTTGGGTTCCTAAATGGGGTTTCAGGTCTCGCTTGAGGGTTCTATAAGGTGTCTTCTGGCCACAGACATATGGGTTGTTGTCAAAATTAGGGTCCCTTCTGGGGTACCCTAAATATTAGGTGCCGTATTATATTAGGGACCCAAAACAGGATCATAATTTTGACAACCACCCATATGTTAACAGTGTGAGAAACCTGCAGATCTGCTGTTGTCCTTGTGACTGAGACCTTGCAGCCCTTTACGCTTGAACTCCAAGTTGTTTCTTGCATAGCCAAGTATCCTGTCACAAGGCTCTGACATCAGCTAGACGGGCCCAAGAGAATTCCATACGCGATGAGTTTGTGAACTTACATAAATCAGTGTACAGGCAAAGCTCGACGTCAGAAGTAGTTCGCAAAGGTTGAGGGGCGACACCAGATGCAACCTAGTACCTGGACATAAGTGTTCAAAACGCTTAAAACCTTAAAACCCCTAAACCCTAAACCCTAAAACCCTAAACCCTAAATCCCTAAACCCTAAAATCCGACACCTTAAACTTAAACGACCCAATCAAAACAGGCCCCAGAAGCCATCAAACCTCATCTCTGGGGCAAACCCTAAACCCTAAAGCCCTAAACCTTAAAACCCTAAACCCTAAAACCCTAAGCCCTAAATCCCTAAGCCCTAGAATGACAGGCCCCAGAAGCCATCAAACCTCATCTCGGGGGCTCCACGGACGGCACAGCTTGGACAATTGGCCACACGACCCGCCGGCCGATTACAGACCAGGGCCGTTTCAGGGCCGCGCTGAGGGTTGAAGGATTCGGTATTCATCTTCCCTTTTAGTGCCTCTAGTATACTATTCCTGCCGCGATTTAACTCAATCCCTGATTGAACTACATAGTATTAAGGTCAGTCTCAAAACATTTGTTTTGGGTTCAGGAGTCCCCTCAAATCTCTTGCCGCAAGTTCCGGCATATTGCCTGGCTTGATCCGTCTCTTCCCCATCATCGTCTAATCACTTTAGCGGGCTTAGGGTTCATGGTCCATGATCCTCATCCGACTAGTTCCTCTTTCTCGTCCACACCCCTGTCAATATCCTAGGCCCTATGATTGTGGTGATGATGATGACTGTGATGCTTGTGGTGGTGCTCATGTCACACCATAAGCGTATATGAGCGTCATAACTACAATGACTACTGTCGTGGCGACTGCGAGTTTGGTTGTTGGACAGCTTATATGATGGGAAGCTAGGTTGTAGCTGAGAGGGTAAAGAGGAAGGCTGGGATCTTGAGTCTCTGGACTGACACGGATATGGAGACCGATCATAGGAATCCATGAGTTGGTGCCTGTTTCGACAGGTTCAGAGCTCATAAACTACAGCTGTTCCGTAACGCCAGGGCACACACCGAACCAGGTATATGCAAACGGAGAAGCCTGCGTCGGTCTAGCAGGCTATAACCCGCACCTGCGCAGACCTAGAACAGTTTTAAAGTTGCCGTATAGATACAGAGTGCAGATATGGTCTTATGTGCTTGAGCATCCAGTACACCGTCTCCGCATGCATACCCATTTTCTATGCAGACGGATAGTGTGCACAGATAGACACACTCACACAGAGCAGGCAGAGGCAAGGACATGCGCAGACTCGGAGAGGCAGAACGACAGCCGGATGCTCACACATCCAGGCCGACAGACAGAGAAAGACAGACAGACAGAGACAGACAGACCGACAGACAGAGAGAGGGAGAGAGAAAGGGTGTGAGAGCACGTGGGAGCGAAAGTCACCTAAGGCATCCATTCGTTTGTGTACCCATCCAGCCCATCCAGCCACCCCGAATTTCATACATGCATACATACATGTATATGATTTTTTATACATACATACTCACACACACGCATACACACACACACACACACACTTGCACGAGCGCACGCGTGTGCGTGGATCGCCCCTACTCGGAGTATGTGCATCAGAGCAACTTAAAGTACTTTCAAAGGTGTATGTATATTTGTGTGTGCATGTGTCTCTCTCTCCGTGTCCGTGATTGTCTGTGCGTGCTCGTGTGATAGTGTGAAGCCTTGCTTTCAGGCCCATACACGTCGGTGTCACCAAGGAGCACGAATGAAGAGTTGCACAAACGGACTGCTCATAGATTTCTCTGAATCAGAAGCGGACTGCTCACGGAATCCTCTGAGTCACAAGCCCTAGAACTGAAATCTTTCAGCCCAATCTCTACCTGGACACCAAAGAACGTACCTTTTTAAGGACTCATATCAGGAAATCATAAGAGAGAACCATAAGAAGGAAGGTTATTCAGGGTTAGGATTAGTCCTCCCACCCGGCAGCCGAGTTCTAAGGCTTAGATCAGAAGACGGTACACCCGAATCTGTGGTGAGATCAGAATTAGGTCTATAGAATACGCACTCTGAGGGCTTTGAGCGCTTTCCGGCCGCGGATACCAAAATCCGTTCGATGTGTGTCTGTGTGTATATAGAGCGTTCATTTATAACTTATTCGCGTGCTCATGTTTATTTCTATTTATACTGATGTTCATATTTAGACTTTGTGGTGTTAGTACTTTTAGGTACACTTCGACACTTGTTCAATGTTTATGCTAATTTTGACATACGTCTATATCATATGTGATTTCATATTTACTGTTTAAATTTATATAGCCTTTAACTCCAAACAATCCCTAAACCCTAAGCCTAAAACCCTAAAACCTAAGACCCAAAACCCTAAAACCCTAAACCCCCAAACCCCAAAACCCTAAACCTAAACCCTAACCCCTAAACCCTTATAACCCCCCTATAGATCCCCTTAAGGAACCACACTCTTCAGAGCTCGAAACTCCAAGTCCGAAGCCCGGGGCCCCCAAACCCGACCTAGGCGAAGTACTCTAAACGGTCGAGGCTTTCGAGCTTACGGTTTAGGGGTTTAGGGTGTTCAGGGGTTAGGGGGGTTTAGGGGTTTAGGGGTTTAGGGTAGGCTTTCGAGTTTAGGACCTATCTTAACCCGGAATAACCTACCTCTTTAAGGACATGTATGAGGAACTCATAATAAGGAGCCCTAAAAAGGTAGGTTCTTCAGGGTTAAGGTAAGCCCTAAACCCCTACTTGGAGGGTCGGGGGACTTAGTAACTGGTTATGTTATGGAGTTATAAGTACCATAATCCCAATTAGAGTTCCTTTTAGGGTACGTCTACTTGCTACCTACTTACTAAGTCCCCCGACCCTCCAAGTATAAGGCCTATACCGGGAGCCCTCAAGGTTGCTGCAGCCGGTGCTAAGCTCCCGGAGATCTACTTCGGAACTATGACTTTTGGCTGGTCACAGGCGCTTTAGGGTTTGTTTAGGGTTTAGGGCTTCAGGGTTTAGGGGTTGGGGTTTAGGGTTGAGGGCTCCATCAGGCTGAATTGGGCTTACCTCAACCCCGAATAACATACCGTTTTGAGGACTTATGAAAGGATATCATCATAAGGAACCCTGAAAAGGTAGGATCTTTGGGCTCCAGGTAGGGTTTAGGATCTAGATGTCAGGGTTTTCGGTCAGGTTCCAGGGTTCATGGGTTGCTGTAGCTTGCATGATTACGGTTGGTGTTCTTAGGTGCTTGCTTTCGAGCCGGCATGGAATATGCAAAATCCGGATCTCCAGTTACCTTACGCTCCTGCAGTCGCCAGCCCGTCCTCAAAAACCTAAACCCTTTTGGGTTCAAAACCACCCTTTTGGGTTTAGGATTCAATCCCAAGCCCTCCGAAAATGAAAGTGTGTGCCGATCTAATTCCAAACCCTTTCCACAGGCTAGCAGCACCGTGGACGACAACACCTCTGCCGAGTGGCCAGACGGCAGACGGGCGCTCGGGTTGTGGATTTTTTCTTGAGCCACAAGAAAGAGCTCCCTCAACCCTAAACGCTACCCTAAACCCCAGATGGTTCTGGATGCCTTACGACTTCAACCCAACATTCCAAACCACAACTTAGTCTAAACCATGAGCTGCAGATGAAGCCAAGATCCTAAAAACACACATCGTCTGTTATCAAGCCAACCCTAAACCCTTAAACCGTGTACCCTAAACCCCGAAGCCATTCTTCTTCGTCTCGGGATCAATTTTTGGGATACTCTGAGGATGTTGAAGCGCTACGGTGCCCTCGGAGGCCCTCTGTGGGGCTAGTGTGGGCCTAGGTTTAGGGATTTTGGGCTTTAAGGGTTTAGGGTTGGGGGTTCTAGGGTTCAGGAATTTCGGGCTTTAATTAAGGGTTTAGGGTTTGGGATTCGGGATCTAGGGGTTCAGGTTCCTTCGTTTCTATTGGGTAAGTCTGCGGCAGGGCGCTTTGATTCTTCAGAGAAGTGGTGTCTTGTTTTGGTGAAAGTAGGATTTATGGCCCTTATTGGTTTCAAGGCTTAAATGTCACAGAGCCTGCATACACCTGTCTAAGTTTAGGAGCCCATTGAAGGCCTAAGTTAATCTGTACCACCCCGAAACCCCACCCTAAACCCTATACCCTCAAGCCCTAAAGACGGACACTCTCATATAGGTGCGTGAATTGCACCCTTCCGGGCTTCTGAGATGTTGGAAGCAGTTGCTTTGGATCCCAAAAATTGTTTTGTCCAACCTCCTCTTGGTGACAGCATCTGTGCTAGATTATTAAGCCTTAGCTGCCTTAGCTCCTGAAGAACTCCTAAGCCCGCAAACGCGAGAGAGACAGAGAGCGATACATTATATATATATATATATATATATATTATACATATATATATATATAGCCACACGCCCAGCCTGTGAAGTCGTTTACTGTATCTATCGTATAGTAGACCACCACGGTCCCGAATGACCCTGTATAACTCCCTTATACCAGACCCTTGTGCTAACCCCAAGTGTCCGAAGTAGCTACATAGTAGACATAGTAGAATGTAGGGTTTGTATAGAAGGACCACGAGAAGTTACTAGTACAGTACCAGTTATAAGTAGAGTTACAAGTCCCCCCCAATGTACTTAGGTTTTAGGTTGTGTAAGTATAGTTATCCTGCCTATAACCCTACATGCAATTACTGATGAACCTCCAAGTAGAGCCCTTCCTTATAGAACCCTTGTAGAGCCCTGAAATGAACCTCATAAGCCCTCCTTTTATAACTCGCCGTGAGCCTCCATGTAACCCTACCCTTCGGATACCCAGAGAGCCCAATACCCCTTAATTAGGGAATATAGCTGAAATCATAATATGAAGCCCTATATAATTTAAGCCATATTCCGTCGTTCCCTTAGAGAACCCTTATAGATCCCTGTAAGGAACCCTTTAAGGAACCCCTAGGCCTTCAGCCATAGTCCTGAATTCAGTCGTATTGGGCTCTCCGGGTAAATCTGGGCAGGCTTATAGCAACCGGCTGAGGCTTTCCCAAAAACTCCAATATCCCTTAGTTAAGGAATATTCCCCTAAGGGTTCCTTAAACCCTAAGGCTCCAAGGACTCATATTTTAAGGCTTTTGGGCCTAAAGACCATATCATGTAAGGCTTTTGGGCCATTTCGAGCCTTAAGGAAAGGGTTCCTTAAAGGGATCTATGGACCAATATCCCTTAATTAAGGAATATTTTTCCAACGGTTCCTTAACGGGATCTATGGAGGTGTTCAGGTGGACACTGCTCGCATCTACTCCGGAGGGAAAACCGAGGACCGACCCACGGAGCTGCCTAGCGCTTTGGGGTTTGGGGCTTGGGGGGTTTGGGGGTTTTGGGGTTTTGGGGTTTGGGGTTTTGGGGTTTTGAGTTTTTTTGGGGTTTGGGGTTTTGGGGTTTAAAGTTTTACGTAGAGATTTGGGGTTGTGGGGTTTTGGGGTTTAAGGTTTAGGGTTTTGAGGTTTTGGGGTTTGGGGGTTTTGGGGTTTGGGGTTTTAGGTTTAAGGGCTGTCCGTTTCGCTAGGTTCTACATGCTCAAACCTAAGGAAGCGTCTAACAATACCGTAACAAACAAAACGGTAGCTCTAGCACCCCAAGCAAACCCCAACAAGGCCTTATTCTAAACATGCAGCATATACAAGGAGTTAGCTGATCCCTTTAGCCAAGCTGTCGTTTTCGCGGAAGGACATACTTGGCAACATCTTGGGCAGCAGTGAGCTGGCAGGCGCTCATGGGATTGGGGGAAGGTCGTTTCCGAGCGCAGGAGTAGTGACTTGAGCTGTTGGTGTTGGGTTCGGAGCCCGGGCTTCTCTGCAGTTTTGGGTTTTGGGTTTAGGGTTTGGGTTTAGGGTTGTGTGTGTGCGTGTGTACTTGGGTGCAGAGCTTCGTTTGTGGGCATCATGTCACAGACGTGACACGAAACCGCATCCCCAAGAGCTGCAGCATGAAGGCAAGTTCGAATCCCCCGGCTATCCCTAGGGCTCCAGCTACTTTTAGACATAGATGTGTATACTGAGTGTGCATCTATATATATATATATATATATACTGGCATTGCCAGTACCCTACTATTCAGGTAACTGGAGTCCAAGGGTATTGAAAAACGCAACCAGATGCGAAGTTCGGAACTGAGGTGGTCAGATCTTCGAAGCGAAGTCGTGAAACCTCACCAATGAATGCCTAACTTTGCTTACAAAATTTGCGCATGCTTGCATCTAAACCGTGAATCCCTAAACCCTAAGCCTTAGACCCTAAACCCTACACCCTAAACTTATGCAAACTTCTGGAGCACCCTCAGGCAGGCAATGGGTCCTCGGAACCAAGGCTCATCCGCCACATGGCCGGCATTTTAGGGTTTAGGGATGTTTAGGGTTTAGGCTTTGGGGCTGAGGGATGTTTGGGGTTTCGGGTTCAGTGGGGTTGGGTTACGGATGTTGAGGGGGGTTTAGGCTGAGGCTTTAGGGGGTTTGGGGGTTAGGGGCGAAGGGGGTTTATGGGGTTTTGGGGACTTCGTTTTGGGATTCAAGAAGCCTCTGTGGTGCGGTTTGAGGGTTCAGGATCTGGAGTGAGGATTTGCCAGTTTAGGTGCTCGGGTCGGGGATCATGGTTTTGGGGTTTGTATATAATTTCGAGGTTTTGCTTTCAGGGTATGGGCGGCTAATCAAGGAAAACCAGAGTTTCTTTTGACAAGGTAGTTTGAAAAAGGGACGGCCCCAAAACGGACAGATATGCTTCCCTTTTGCTTGCAGGCACCTCTAGCATTTGAAAAAGGCACCATTCGGATGCACGGAACATATTGCAGATACAGATACAGAGATACAGGATGCAGCGTGAGCTCAAATGGGTTGAAGCCATATTATAACCTTATAATAATACCTCTGAAAGACTCTAAAGCTTATAAGCCCCAAACCCGCTAACCGGAAGCCGAAACCCCAAACTCTAAGCCCAGAAAGCCCTTAATGTAGGAACCTGACTACGCAAACCTGGGCCTATAACCCCAAACTGCAGGATTCATATAAGGAACCCTAATAAAGGCCCAAGGTTTCTTAATCAGGTTCTTACATCAGACACCCTTCTAGAAGCCAGTACTTATCAGAAGTGAGAAAACACAGGTCCCAGGAGGGCGGATTGTCGGGCGCGGGCATCCGCTCGCAGCTGAAGGCTTCTCGGCATCTGAGAAGCTCTCAGAGGGGCTTAAAAGGGACCCTGGCTAGGGTTTGAGGCTTCAGGGTTTTATGGTTTAGGGTTTAAGGAAAACCCTTCAAAGAAGCTTTCCAGAGGGGCTTAAACGGGTTCTGGAGTATCAGACTTTGATGTTTTTGTTGGGGACCTGTTCCGTGCAGGAACTATTATGAGAATTCTTGTGAAATAAAAGTTCCTGGTTACTCCAAAGCCAGGTAATATGGAAGTTTGAAGGGGTTTCCTTAAACCCTAAAACCCTAAAGCCTTAAATCCTAGCCAGGTCTTAGAGTTCTCAGGTTTGAGGCCGGTTTCTCGGGTACGGTAGAGTTTTGTTGCTTGGGGTTTATATGGGATCCGTATGCTTCAGGGGTTTAATTACTGTACTTTTATGGCTCATCGTTTCCTTTGATCATATCAGGGTTTGCACTGCAGGTTCATGTTAAGGGATCGAAAAGACTGTTGATGATACAAATCCTGCATTACCCTAAGGAACCTAGACTATGGGAATTATGGTATATTCCCTACCATGTGTAATGCAAGACTTATATCATCAACCGTAGCATGCGAGGACGACAGGTCGCTTCGGAGACTCGAAGTTGTTTCGGGCTCTCAGGTGGTAGGGTTTATATAGGGTGTTGCAGGAGCATTGGATGTCACGAAACCCTAAACCCATGGATCAGGAGTCTTTGGCAGCGATGAAGGTCAAGGACGTGGACATTTTGTCCCACGGTGGCACGATGAACGTCAGCCCTGGACGTGAACTTGGGGGTGGCGTCTTTTGTAGTGTAGCTATATCAAGAAACCCAAAGGAATAGTATTTTAAATATGCTGGCTCCCATTCATGTTATTGCTGAATATCTTGTACTCCTAACTTGGTTTCAATTTCCGACTGAATATCTCAATATCGGATCCAGGCCCCCCAAACTCTAAACCTTCAGCCCCGAACCCCAGACCTTTAAGCCCAAGCCCTTGCTCTTGAGCCCCGGCCCAATAATGCTACGTCCGGGCAGCCGCAGGGTGAAGGTACGCGAAACTTTTCTAGAAGGCGCTGTATACTATATCCTTGGTGATACGGCTGATGATACAAGCCCTGCATTATCTATAATTAAGGAATACACCATAATTCCCATAGTCTAGGGTCATGTATGCAAGATGTGCTTGTCCTTTGGGTAGAGCCCCGAGGTATCCATAGAAGCTGTCATAGGGCAGGGGTTGGTTCACGCGGAGCCTGGGAGCTATTGCTGTGCGCGCTGCAGTTCGTTCATTCCCGGGCCGGGTGCAAGAGTTTTGTGTTCTGTTGTGTTGCATCTTCTGTTCTATTCTATTCTGGTGCATGCTGCCGGATATCAATGCATGCTGTCTTAAGTTCTGTCGTTTAATGCATCATACCATGTCATATTATAGTCTATTCTGTTCTATGCTATACTATGCTAATTGACAGCCACAAGGCCCTCAGCACCCATGACGGAGCCGCCGCAAAACCTCGACCCCCAACGTCTTGAATTCTGAGCCAAGGAATTTGCACACCTCCAAATCACAAGGACCCTTAGGGGGGTAGGGGGCCCCGGGCCGTAATACTTATAATAAGGACCTAATCAGGCCTTTTTCAGGATTTGTGGTCCCCCAACCCTCTCTTCCCTATCCCTCTAAGGGTCCCTATGACCGAACTGGTTGATACGTCCAAAGTCCGTGCTTGGAAGTTGAGGTATCTCTTAGAAGCTGCCGTAATAGTGGTATAATAGGAATATAAGGGCCCTAATATAATCCTATATAATCCTTATGGTCACTATTACAGGGTGGGGGCCCCTTCTAAGGTATCTCCACCAGCCAGATCCCGACCACGACCTGTCGGAGTCCCTTGAGTGTGTGCAGCAGCTCATCGGCGAGGGCTTGATCCGTCGTTTCGGCATGAGCGACTTGGCGTAGAACAGGGGCCTTACCGAAAGGTAGCTGAGTGGATACACGTTACACTTCTTGGGATAATATTACCCTCTTATAGAACTGAAAGTGTACACTTTGGAGGGCTTATGAACTCAACAACTAAGTTACTGCCACAATCGTAATGGCCCACACACCACTTTTAAGCTGCTGGGTTCTCGAAAGTGAATCTTTTTTCGAGAGCTGTTGCCTTTTAACCACTTGGGTATTTGGGAGGTCAAGTGATGCTGCAAGTCTTTGATAACTCAAAGACAGTCAACCTGCCCCCCCCCACCCCCGATCTAAGTGTAACTAAGTAAGCCCGTGAGCTATGGTATGACATTATGACAATTGTCTGAAGTCTCTTTGTTGTTCAGATATGTGGCATCCCACATGATGTTGCTTATCGCCCCTTGCATCAAAGCTGGCTCAAAGGCAACTACAGTGCGGTGGAAGTCGATCGATGTTGCACGATGTGCAAGGACCCCGACACGCGGCCTGTTGATTATTCGATGTTGCAAACCACAGCCCTCGGGTTTACACCATGGCCGTAGGTTGTGTGGGTCGAAAAGCTGCTAACCGATACCTCTTCAAACCCTAGTTTAATGCCAAGATGCCAAGTCTGTTTCTCCAGCAGGAGTCGATATCGAACGAGGAGTCAAGAAAGTCCGTTTCGTGACACCCAGACCACCCTGTTCCATCTAAGCATTCTGCCCCTAAACGCTACACCCTAAACCCCAAACCCTATAAGCCCCAAACTCTAAGACAACCCTGGCCCATCCAATCATTCTGCCGGAACAGACGTACAGAGACAAGAGCTCAACTCTTCGAAACAATACGAGTCGTAATACGAGTCGATTTGTCCAGCTTAGAGTTTTGGGTTTACGGTTTGTTAGGGGATGTTCAACTTGGGATTTAGTGGTTAGCGCTGCAGTTGAAGAATGCAGGCACAAAGCAGCGCATGTTCATCGCGGGCTTTCGGCCAGGAGCGTGGCTGGGCGACTCCATCCGTCTACCAGGGCCTGTACAATCCTTTGACACTGTGCTGAGCCAAGGGCGGGGTGCTGTGGCCTTGGGACCTATGGCCATGCACCCTGAAACTGCAAAGCCCCAAGCGAGCCACGCACATCCTAATCTCCCAAGCCTAATAGCCCTGGAGCCCAAACCCGGAAACCCGAGCAAAAGCCAAAAACAAATGGAACTTTCGAGATTTGGATTCGCCGGAATGTTCTGTAGCTTTGGATGTTTAAGGTGAAGAGCATGGGCTTCACACGAGTTCTTTTGAGGAAGCTGCGGTGTCTTAGGATGTACAGTGCTGAGGGCACCTACGGTATACGGCCTTAGATCCTAAACGCAAAAGCAAAGTGCCAGGGCACAGGGTAAGCACATCCTCAGCTTTTGAGCTGTTGTTTCTCTCTCGCTCTCTCTCTCTGTCTTTGTCTCTCGCTCTCTCTCTTTGTCTCACTCCCTCCCTCCCCCCTCCCTCGTCTCTCTCTCTCTCGCACTCTCTCTCTCTCTCTCTCTCTGTCTCTCACTCTCGCTCCCTCCCTCTAAGCCCCAAGATGCTAAGCTCGAAGACCATGCACCCTCAGAGCCTGGCAGACTCTCCGCCTCTGCGCCAAGGAATCGGTTGGTAGAGGAAGAGCTTCTCCCTGTGTTGCGGAAGCTTCTTGGGCGAAGCGGTTTAGGGGTTTGTTGAGAGTTTAGAACTTTATGGTTTAGGATCTAGGATTTAGGGTTTAGGGTTGGGGGTTAAGGGCTTCGGGTTTGTGGGTTCAGAGTTTCGGCAGTTGTTGGCGGTCATTGGCTTCTGGGGTGGATGGCGATTTGTTTTGCAGCTTTGGTGAGCCATCTGAGATCAGAGGCGGGTCGTAACTAGGGTTCGAAAAAATACATAAACAAATACACGAATAGACAGATAAGCATGTATATATATATATGTATGTGTATGTATGTATGTATGTATGTATGTATGTATGTATGTATGTAGATATAGATATTAAACCGTATGATATATTGGTTACTGTTATTCTTAGCGTCTTAGCAGTCTTATGACTAGCCAGCTCTGTCGAAGCAATGTCGAGAATATGCTGGGCAAGTCCGGGGGCAGTGTACGGCTAGCAACGCAGTACGAACTGTGTCGGTGTGGCCGGTATCGTGGGTGTTGCTGTTATGCAGGGCAGTACAATTGCTGCTGTTGCGCTCTTGCAACGATGCGTACTGCGTAGAAGTAAGACATCCACTGCAAGGCACGGCGTTTCCTTCGTGGCCTACAATCCTCTCGCAGCCGGGTTGTTGAGCGGGACGCTGTGGCAGAAGTAGATTGTTGGAGGGTCTTTTTCAGGCTATGCCCAGCAAGCCCGATGGATTTTGAGTATTCAAATTGTTGTCACACTATGGGGTGCTGACTGGACGTTGTGTTTGAAGGACATTTGTTGAAGCCAGGAGCCTGATAGACTGGTATGCGGTAGACTACTGATCGAAATAAGCACAACGATGCCCTTGTGAACCGTGGCAGTCCTGGCTGATCGAAGTCATATTCAACTTTCTCAGCATCAACGTTTGAGGCACTCTCATCTGCACCATCGTCATCACCATCATCACCTTGGTGGTTAACATCATCATCGTCGTCGCCGTCGTTATCATCACCGCCATCATCTTCACCGATGTCTGGGGTCTAAAAGTAGTAACACAAAAGTAGTAACACAGTACCCGTCGAATCTTACTGTAGGCCCCTTGAGCAGTTAACATAGATCTTAATGTTACATCGGGGTTCATTGGCCAGGTGCCTACATTCATGACTAGTTTGCGATCGCTTAGGCTACATGAATGCCGACGCTCTTGATGACAAACTTAGAAACTAGAATAATGATCGACATGTTGGCTCATGAACAGCTTAGTAGAACGACGGCAGCAACTAAAGCTGGAGCGCGTATCATGGACCAGGGAAATCAAGACTGGGAGCTGCAGCTGAGAACACAGCAAAACAAATTTGACCAGTATTCTTGCACTGACACTTCAACCTTACCTTCGTGTTGGGTTGCAGCGGATGTTTCAGGATATAGGGATCGTTAGTGAGGCTGGTCCTACCCTGCTGTGATGTGCTTACTATGCCACCGACCCAGGAAGCACACGGACAGTAACAACGTCCTTCCTGGTCGTTTCAAGGTCTCCCGGCATCACTGGCACTGCCCTGTAGCCTTTAACCAAGAACCCCAACACGATTCCAAGCCGGAAGCCTTCCCAAAACACCAGAATCCAAACTCCGAAGCCCAAAAACCCTCAGCCCCGCAGCAGGATTCTCGAACCCAGGCAACAAAGCATGAGCCCTTAAACTGCACCCTTGTAACCAAAGAGTATCAGTGGATCAAATCACCTACTATTCTAGGATGCCCAGTAGTACCCTTATTCCCTTTGTGTAGTCCTAGGTTCCTTATACAGTTACCCAATGCCAAAAAGGGAGCCCTTTTTATTCCCAAGGTACGGCGCATCCTAGTAAAAGGTTATACAGCTATACCCCAGAATGGCCGGCCCGAACCTACAAATTTGCGGGACTTGGGGCTTTAGGTGCAGGTATTCCTGACGTCACAATAATAAATGCTCTACAGTGACAGCTTAATTAAGTGCGTCCTAAGACAAAAGGAGTAGTTTTCTTCTCTTACTCAGCAGGCTCCCTGAGCCCTAATTAACCCTGAGGGTCCAAGTACCTGATAATCATATGCTCTCCCAAATATCAACCTACAGACGTATTATCCTAAAACCCAAGTACCTCATTATTGGGTTCTTACATGAAGCTGTAGGGTTTAGTTTGGTTTCAGGCTTTTGGATTCGAGGCTTTAGGGCTTTAGGGCTCATTTCGTGGGATTAGGGTTGCGCGGTTTTGTTTATTCTGCAGAGTTTTGCAGTTAAGAAAGCTTTTAGGGTCAAGGGCCAGCTTTGACGTTTTGGGTTGAACACCTTACCACAATCACTGGACTGCATTAGAACAACGTGAGCTCATGCGAATGTGACTCATGTCGATTATCTCCTGAACAACCACGGAACAGTAACCCTATAAACCCCACGTGCACTAGATCCGAAACCCTGAACGCCTGACCCTACCTATAGTCTCCATTGTAGTTCCTTTTTTTGGTTAATTAAAATCTCTATTATAGGGTCCTAACCATAAAACTGGTCAACCAAGAAAAGGAACTACAATGGAGTCTATAGGTATGAGCCCTAAAACGAAAAGCCCCACGGTCATGGCACGGCTGCTTCCATCCGCCAATGTAAACCCCAACCCCCGGGAGGATCCAAAAAGTAGATCCGTTAATGGGGGTTCCTATAAAGTACCTTTACATAGTAGTATAGGGCCCCAAATTGGGGGAACCACTTTCTAGATCCTGTTTGGGAAACTACCATATAAACTTCAACTCTCTGCCCAAGCTGAACTATTGCCTGTGGATCCAATAACATGGTACTTTAAGGGTTACATGACAGAAGTAAGGCGAACATCAGAAGAACACTCCTAAGATCGCAAGGAGAATCAAAACTATCTGCCGCGCTTCTACACGAAGCCGAATTTCGAGGTATGCGGATCAGGGTGGGGTTTGAGTTTAGGGTTCGTGGTTGAATGGCTTCGTGTAGGAGCCTCGTGGTTTAGGTTGGGGGTGGGGACGGTCGTACATTCATACATGCTTTGCGGTCGGCGGTTTCCAGACGTTTGAGGGTTGCAAGTTTTATGGGTGACATACTCTGCTCAGCAACTATTCATTTCAAAAAGCTGGGCACGTGCTCACCATGTTCCAGGGTCTGGGTTTCAGTGTGTTTGTATGGGCTCAGGGCATAGATGGTGGAAGCGAAACCACATCTGCGTTCTAGTCTTCGTGTACCTGTCTCTTTTGATAACTGCCATGAGAGCTGCTACTGGTCATACTCCACCTTTCACGTTCTCGGGCATGCTCTTCCTCTATGCGTGCATGTGAATCCGAAGCTTGTTTAGAGATGTACGTTAGCGATCATCACTGCCACTTCCCCTCCCTCTCCAAAAAAGTCCAACACCTGGTAATTGAGGAATAATTAGTTCCCTAAGTCATATTATTTACGGTTCCCAGTATATTTGCAGGTAATTAGATTCTTTGATATAGCGGGTTTGGAGTCTTTGTGCCAGCGAGGCTTCTCAATTCTTGTTCGGATCGTCCCAGCTTCGTACCGGGACATAAACTAACAAAATGCATGGCGCGACAGAGACCGCTGTGGGATGAAACATGTGGGGCTGGCAACTGGCAATCAGACCGTAATCCGCGAACCTCTGACGCCTAGGCCCCGCACATGTCCTGAGGCACTGGCTGGGATCCGTGAAGCCTGCGCCGAGGTGCAGACATGCAAATTTACTTATGGTCTCCGTTGTAGTTTGTTCTTTTTGGGGGTTTAACCAGTTTTATATGTAGGATCCTAGAAGGTAACCCCAAAAAAGAATCACAATGGAGCCAAACAAGAATCACAATGTAGGCTGTGTGTAGGTCCTGGTCTTCGTGTTTGTGGTTTCGAAGTATCTGCTCTCTAGTGAACCTGCCTTACGTAGCAGTCGCTGATAATAGAGCTGTAGCTGGGGTATCTGAGCTACAGCTCAATCCTGAACCCTATAATAGGCCCTACGGGTGTAGATGTTCCTGTTTGGCCGGTGAAGCAACCCTGGTTACGGGAAAACTCCCATCTTGCCTGCATTAGTGTTCCATTGCCGTGGTTCAGCTCTAACAGGCTTGCCCATTCTAAGTCGTCGTTTCCATAATTCCTAAACCCTAAACCATAACCCTCTAGAGATCCAGCACTGCGGCCTTTTGCATTGCATGGCATCTCATGCAACATTCATGGCCAGACGACCAGACCGCACAGCTGCATCCTGCGATACATTACAACTTTACTTGAGCTTGTGGCTCCAATGCAGTGGCATTCTTGCGTACCTTCCTGCTGCTAGCAGATCCTATTGCCCACACCCCTACTATAGCGACTACGAGGAGAAGGACGACGACGAAGACGACTACCGCTTGCCAGCCGGGGCAAACACCACTGCCGCTATAGAACACCGCTACTACTAGCGACACGACTATACCAATGCTGCTTTCCGTCCGAGCTCTTACAAATCCTCAGTGACCGCTGTCCGTCCGAGCGCCTACAATCCTAAGTGCAGAAAGCTGTGTTGAAGAGCGAAACGTGGAAGAAGCTCAAGAATGTTGTTCTTAGGCTGGAATTTCGATGGTGTCTGCTTCGTATGCCTGGCTCCTGCAGCACTCTGCGCTGAGCGCCGAGCACCCCGTCTGCAACACTCGATCTCACAAAGCCCCAAACCCTAAAACCTAAATCCTAAACCCATAAACTGCTTTAATCCCAAAAACCGAAGTCCTCAACCCGAAACCTTAATGCTAAACTATGTTTAAACCTGAAACCCAACGCCCAAACTGTAAACCAAGTCAGGAAGGGAGATGGACTCCTCATCGGTGCCTCCTCCCTTGTCCAGCTCGATGAGAGCCTCGGCTCAAGAATGTAGTTTTGGGGTGTGCTTGGAGGTCCATGGGTAGTTATATATAAGTGGGGTTACAAGTCCCCTAGCATAGGTTATAACTCCAGCTGTCCTACTTATCACCCCCCACTTATAACTACACATGACCCTCCAAGTAGGGATTTTAGGGCTTGGGCTTGGGGTTGGGATCTACGGCTGTAGGGGTCTGGGGGTTTGGGGGTTTAGGGTTTAGTGGGGCTTTGGAATTGGGACGAATGGGACACAGGCATTGATAGCAAAATCACTAGACACCCAGGCCGGAAGACATAAGCCCTAAACCCCATCAAACCCCAAAACCCAACAACGGGCTGTAGACTTAAACGCACACTTGGCATGCGAGGAACCTTAGCGCGTGCTTCTCGCCGCCACTGCTGCCAGAATCCTTGGTTTCAGCCTTCGATGCTGCCTGGACTCTTGCCTGAACCGCTTAAACTTTCGGGGCTGGCGCGGTTCAGTCTGGAATTGGAGGCTTGAGATTCTGTGGAGTTTTAGATTTCAGCTTTTTTTGGGTCATGGGCTAGGACTCTAAGGATCTACGGTTCAGGTCTTGCTGACATGGGGATGAGAGCATATGCGGTAGAAGCAGAGGCACTGTGGGCGAGAATACCCCCAGAACTTCCCTAAACCCTTTAAACCTTAAGCCCTACCTATAGTCTCCACTGTAGTTATTTTTTTGGTTATCCAAAATCTCTATTATAGGATCCTAACCATAAGACTGGTTAACCAAAACTACAATGAAGACTATAGGTAAGCCCTTGTCCTAAAGTTCTCGAAAGTGTGGTTCGTATCAGCCCTTCTCCGAATAGACCTGGAGAAGGCCGCTCTGCTGAAGGGTCTCCTGGATGTAAGGGTTTAAGGTTTAGGTTTCTGGTTCGGTTTAGCGTTGGATATAGGGCCTCAAGAAGTACCAATACTATCTTGGGGGGTTCCTTTAACTGTATAGTACAATGGGCCCCAAAACCTAATCTAATTACTAAGGCTAAGGCCCCTATATCATAGAACTCTATTATTATGGATCCCGGATAGAACCCCTTAAAGGACCACTTTAAAGGAGCACTTTTCGAATCTTTAAGGCCCCTACATATTACAGGGAACTCCAGAAAGTTGGAATATGGAATAATGGCAGGATCCCCGATAATTTACCTTAAAGGGGTTAGGATAATCATATTCCAACTTTCTGGCTTCTACTGTAGGGTGTGCAGGTCATAAGTTCAGTATAGCAAACCTTAAACCCCAAACCTTAAACCCTAAACTCCATACCCTTATAGAATCCCTAAAGATCCCTTTAAAGGGATCCTCCTTGATGGGAGCTAGGAGGGACTTAGAGGTCGGGATCCTCAGCTCGAGACGTCTTTGCTGCTTGGAGGTTCATGGGTAGTTATAAGAGTTCCTTCAAGGGTCCCTTTAAAGGGATCTATAGGGGTTCTATAAGGGTATAGGGTTTAGGGCTTAGGGTAAGTTAACTAGGATGCCCAGTAGTACCCTTATTCCCTTTTTGTAGTCCTAGGTTCCTTATAAAGTTACCCAATACCAAAAAGAGAGGCCTTTTTATTCTTAGGTTACTGGGTATCCTAGTATACCCTACTTGGAGGTTCATGGATAGTTATAAGTAGGTTTCCAAGTCCCCTAACATGGGTTATAAGTTATAACTATAGCTATCCTACTTATAACCCTACTTATAGCTACCCATGAACCTCCAAGTAAGCCTTCACTGAGCTCTTGTTGAAGACTTTAAGGTATTTTACCGCAAAAGGGATCTATAGTACATAGGGGGTGGGGGGCGGGGTTGCGAATGGTCCCAAAGAGCAGCCTGGGAATGTTCAAAAACTGACACCATATTTTCAGAAAGCTTCAAATTTGTAATCTCGCGAAGCGAAGGCCTCTCGTGAGCCAAAGTGGAGACGTCTTCCCCTACTGGCGCTCCCCGTCTTCGGAATCATGCTCTTGGTTGCACGGGATCTAGCAAGGTGCCAGGCTGGATGCTGGAGGGGCGTGTGCTTCACGCATTTGAGGTCCAAGTTTTGGTTTCAAGTATACATGTTTCGAAACTTAATACTTACAGCACCATCATCTAGTCGTTATCTTCTTCTGCAGTAGTGGCAAGGGTCACCATCATCATCACCCCTATTACCAACACCAAGACCACCATCAGCACCACCAGCAATAAAGTCATCATAGTCGTCGTCTTGATCATCGTCAGCATCACCACCATCATAAACACACGACGGCATATTATGACCATGGGCATCATCATCATCATCACCCCCGGATCATCGGCAGAAAGCAGACAGTTGCAGCATGGTATGGCCAAACTGCAGACTTCCGGGGTTCGGACGTCGTATCCAAGTAGTCTCAGTTTTGCCCTGGTTGTCGCACAGGTCATCCTATATTTGGATGGAAGGTATCTGTTCTGGTTTGGCTTTTGTCACCTAAACACTATATAAACCTTAAACCCACATCTCAGGGTTCTTGCGTTTGGAGCCGTGCGCCTGGTCGAGTTGTTGCTGGGGCCTTTTGCTGTCTTCGTCGTGCTAAGCCCGATGATGACAATGTAACCTTAAACCCTGAACTTCAACCCGGAACTCTCAACCCTGAACCCCGAAGCCTCAAACCCTAAACCTTAACCCTAAGCCCTATCACTAAGAACCCTTGAGATGCCTGCGGGGTCCATGCAATGTACCCAATGGTACATACTTTCGGCTTCAAGTACTCCATCTATATGTACATTGAGCCCAAAGTATATACTAGTTGGGAACATGGACCCTTAAACCCCAAACCCCTATAGAAACCCTTAGGGTGCCCTTAAAGGAACCCTTAAAGGAACCTTTGAAGGACCCTTAGACCCTTATGGGGAAGCCTGAGTCCAGGTTCCTACTCCAAGGACCAGCCGGGCAGGGAAAATCTCCACCCTGGCGCCTCCTACGCTGCGAAGAAGTAGCTCCCTAAGCCCCTATTCTAAGTGTTAAGGTCCCTACATTATAGTACCCTCATAGACATCCCTTGTAGTAACCCTTATAGACCCCCCTTAAAGGAACCCTCTTCTTGTTGCTAACGCCCCTATACCCTAAGCTCCATGTGCCCATATATAGGCTTATAAGTACCTTAGTAGGGACCCTAATTGGGGTTATGGTACTTATAACTCTATAAAATAATAGCTACCGCGAAGCCTTACTTTTCCCTAACCCTAAGGCTCAAAATGGCCCAAAAGACTTATATAGTATGGTCTTTGGGTCCAGAAGCCTTAATATATGAGTCCTTAGAGCCTTAGGGTAAGGGTCCACGTGCCCATATAGTATATACTTAGGCGTTAAAGTACCTATATAGGGACCCCCGTTATAACGCTAAACTAAAATGTTACATAGAGCCTTATTAGGGCTTTACTGACCAAAACCTACTTTTGAGTAGGGTCCCTACAAATCCCACGTTAAGAACCAACCGTTTGACCGTTGCTGGGTGGCTGAAGAAAAGGTGCGCAGCTGAAGATGCCCATGCTCAAAAGGACTCTGCTAGGTCTAGGAGTTTATGCAGGGGTTTATAGGGTCCATGGGGCGTAGGGCTGCGGGGTTGGAGGTGACTTTCTAAACCTTAAGTTCAATCTACAGGAGCTTCGGTTATGGCGTGCTACGGCTTTGGAGCTTCAGGGTGTACAGTAGAAGACATAAAGTTGGAACATGATTAGCCTTCTGCCCCTAGTATAAACTAGAAGGGGATCCACGCACTAATCATCCTAAACCCATGTTCCAACTTTCTGGCGTAGGGCACCTACTTTTTTAAGATAACAGATCCTAACCATAAAACTAGGTATCCCCAAAAGGGGTAGGGTATGAGTTAGAAGCTGCCCCCACCCTGTAATAGTGACTATAAGGGATATATTATTGGGCCCTATTCTATTCCTATTATACCACTATTACAGGGTGGGGGCAGCTTCTAAGGTATGAGCCTCTAGGTACTCTACTTGGAGGGTCGGGGGACTTAGTAAGTAGGTAGTAAGTAGACTTATAAGTACCCTAAAAGGGACCCTAATTGGGGTTATGGTACTTATAAGTCCCTAAAACAACCAGTTACTAAGTCCCCCTAAACCTTAAACCCTATACCCTTATAGAATCCCTATAGATCCCTTTAAAGGAACCCTAAAGGAACCCCTTACTAAGTCCCTCGACCCTCCAAGTAGGTATAGGGCTTTGAATTAGGTTTTGGTCTTCGGAGCTTTGAGGCGACTCTGAAGTACCCAGAGACTCCAATATCCCTTAATTAAGGAATAGACCTGAAATTATAGTAGGATCCTTAATATGATTTAAGGAATACTCCCCAATTAAGGGGTATTGGAGTCTCTGGGTACCTTGGTAGGTGAGTAGGGGATTAGGATTTAGGGTTTAGGGGTTTAGGGGTTTAGGGTTTAGGGTTTAGGGTTTAGGGTTTAGGGGTTTAGGGTTTAGGGGTTTAGGGTTTAGGGTTAACCTTTTGGGGTTCATATGGGTAGTTGTCAAAATTAGGATCCCTTCTTGGGTCCTTATTATAATACGGCACCTAATATTTTATGGTACCCGAAAAGGGACCAACATTTTGACAACCACCCATATAACCCTACCCTGATTCTAACATGTTAGCATTTTTGGGGCTAGGGTACTCAGCCCCTAAGGTATTCAGGGCAGTGGTGAGTGGGCTTTGTGTATGGTTTAATATCGAGCCCTAGTTTCAATCAATTTTTGGGAATTGTTGAAATCGACACATGGTTTGGCGTTCCATAAGCTGTAGACTCCCATATGGGTAGTTGTCAAAATTAAGGTCACCTTTTTGGGGTACCCTAAATATTAGGGTTCCGTATCATAATAAGGACCCAAAAAGGGACCCTAGTTTTTGACAACCACCCATATACTAATTAGGGCCTCCTTTCCTTCAGACATACTTACAACCTTCCCGTGGTGTCCCCGAAAGCTTAAGTCCGAATCCACTAACCGCAGAACTACGAAACTCTGAAACCCTTTACCCCGTACCCCCCAAACCCGAAACTCTAAACCTAACTCATCAACGAGCCTAAGCGTGTTTCAGGGTTGATCCTCCTTGCAGGCCTTCCGGAGGTCGTGATTCACATCCCTCACGGCCAGAGCTTGGCGATTTCCTGCCGAGGACCTGCGCCACTCTGCTACTTCCGGAGGAGTGCGTTTAGGGTTTACGGTTTAGGGCTTGGGGAAGCTTTGGCATTTTCCGATGCTATACTACCCCGGAGTTGCAGTCAGTCAAGGTCCTCGATTGCTGCTGCAATTCGGCTGGTGTACAGTGGGGACGAGTTGCCCTAAGGCAATAGCGAAAAGAGAGTGAGCAGTTAACGCCACTGCCATGGAAGCTATCTTATGAAAAGTTGCCACATATGCAACCCGTATAGATGGACAATGCGTTAGTTGCTATGCAGTATTTATTTCAAGTCTATGGCTTACCTACACATAAAGAGATAGGTAACTGAGTAGCAATAAACCACCATCAAATTCATCACGTATTGATACATATGTATACGTATGTTGTATATCTATATATGTATATGTGTGTGTGTTTATATATACTTGTGTATGTATGTTTATATACTTGTGTATGTATGTATGTATGTATGTATGTATGTATGTATGTATGCATATATCTACATAAACATAGATCGAGCTCCATAGTGTTTGATGTAGGACTTCGAGAGGTTCAGTATATGATTGGTCTCTACACGAAAAAACAACCAGACGCCCAACCCAGAGGCCTCTACCCAGACCGTCGCAGTACCCTTAAATACTTAAGTAAGGAGTATGAGTAGCGTTAAACCGTAACATTGTAACAGGATCCATAATGTGAGGTAAGGTATATTCTGCCTTAACTTAATTCATGATCCTGTTATAGTTCAAGGTATATACTCCTGAGTTGAGGGATACTGTGCGGAACAAGGCGAGCATGTCATGTCCCGAACGCCAAGATAAGCCGTGACCTAGGCCACGTTCCTACTTGGAGGCTCAGGGGTAGTTATAAGTAGGGTCTAAGGTTCCTTTGAGGGAACAGTAAGGGATCTATAAGGGCTCCACAAAGGCTTTACCTGGAGGCTCCTTGGTAGTCAGTCATTAAGTGGGTTGAAGTCCGCTGACATAGGTTACAACCGTAGATTTCTTATTCATAACCCTACTTGTAAGCATCAGGGAGCCTCCAAGTAGACCCTAATCCCTAGACCCTTATAGAATCCCTATAGATCCCTTTAAAGGGACCCTTATAGGAACCCTTATAAAAACCATTATAAGCCACAAGAAGCAATAATTTGAGTCCAATGCTCTGACGCGGATAGTCGCTGATTCGCTCTGGCTTCATAAGTCTAACCTCGAGAACCTACTACGGATGATGGGTTCCTTTAAAGGGATCCATAAGGGTACCTTTAAGGGGCTCCTTTAAGGGATCTATGGGGTTTTAGGGTTTAGGGACATAAATCCTGCATGACCTTAAGGACCCTAAGCTATGGGAATTATGATATATTCCTTAATATGGGTAATGCAAGATTTATATCATCAACAGTAGAACCCAAAGTCCAGGGCTGCTGGAAAAATAAATAGGGTTTAGGGCTTAGGCAAGTCACCCTAAATTTTACATCCTAAACGATGGACCGATAGACCTTAGGCTGTACTGCAGTGAGGAAGAAGTGCTTTCAAAGCAAAAGAACTTAACCGTCATGTACGGACTGAGGCTTCGAGCAAGGCTTCTTTCCCACGGTGCTCGGCCGCCGCTACAGACGCCGATGCCATTCGGAGGAGTTTAGGAGTCTGGGTTTGTGGGGCTTCAGGGTAAGTTCACTAGGATGCCCAGTAGTACCCTTATTCCCTTTTGGTAGTCCTAGGTTCCTTATATGTAAAGTTACCCAATACCAAGGAGGGAGTCCAATTTATTGCTGGGTTGTTGGGCATCCTACGATTGATGATATAAATCCTGCATCACCCATAGTAAGGAATATACCATAGTTCCCATAGTCTAGGGTCCTTAAGGTAATGCAAAATTTATATCATCAACCGTAGTTAAGCTTGAGGGTTCAGTGTTTCGGGCTCTGGTGTGGGGGGATTTTAGGGTGTGAGGCTGTTTACTGCGGGGTTAGGACGTGATGAAGTGTTGGCCTTCGTTTCAAGTGAAAGAAGCTTAGGCAGGGCTTTTGGTTTGGGGTTTTTGGTGTAGGGTTTGGGGTTCTGACTTCTTGCATCTTCTGCTCCATCTGTGCATGCATGCATCAGTGGTTTGTGTTGGAGAGTATACATATGGGTATTTCTCTCAAGTAGGGTCCATGTTTAGGGTCCTTTTTAAGGGGACCTAAAGCGGGACCCTAATTTAGAGAACTGCCCATATGGCCTCTTCGAAATGGCAAGATGCAAGAAAGTATTGAGCAATACAGTAGGCGGACATCCCAGCCAGACTCACGAACGTCTGTCCCGAAAGACACAAGCCGTTACCGTAAACCCTAAACACCTGACCTTCAAGCTGAAGCAGGAACCTGAGGAAAGTGTCCCTCACGGTCCAAGTACCCAATGATCATACAGTCTGAAAAATAGTAGCCTACATAACTACTATCCCAAACCCGAGTACCTAATGATTGTGTCCTTTGGACCCTGAGGGTGTGTCCGGTACTATGCCCTGAGCCGTTCTGAGGCTCGATCCCGGAACTATGAAAGGGGAGTGCAAAGAGGCCAAGATGTTTTTTTTTTTTTTCGGGGGGTGGGGGGGGTACGTTTTGGGGTTTAGGATTTTCCATTGGGAGGTTGTTTTGTCGTTTAGGGATTCTTGGATGTCATTTCCAAGCGCTCGTGCTTGAGGACTGAAGTGGGCAGGGTCTTCTTGTGTTTAGTGCCTTGGTGTAGTTACTGTAGTTACTTGGGGCCCAGACAACAGCATCCAAGCTCGGCGAAGAGAGAATGCAGGCTGAAGGTTTAGGGCCAG